TTGGCGCATTCGTTATGGTTATGGTTATGGCTCTGTTGGACAATGAGTGGCCAAATGGTCGAAACGAAACGAAACCGACTCCGACTCCGACTCCGAGACTCTTTCATGCTCGCCCGAGTCGGGTTGCAACAGCAACAGCGCTGATGGAGGAAAATTCAATTTAGTGCCACAGCCACAAAAAAAAAAAGAAAAAAACAGAAATAAAAAATTAAATAAAACAGAAGAAAAAGGCAGGCCAGCAGCGGCAGCAAAAACACAACAAAACAAGAAAAACACCGCAAAAGCGAGTGGCGAGTGCAATAAATTGTTTCATTCGCGGCACGACGCGCACCTGACACATAAGCTCCGAATTGTCGTCTTCATCTGCCTCTGCCGATGCCTCGACAAGTCGGAGAGCTCGAACCCGATACCGATCCCGATCTGGCCACAGCCCCCTCCCCCACCCCTCCGACCAGAGCCAGAGAAAGAGCCTGGCCAAATCGGCCAATCGACCGACCGACCGACCGACGCATCGGATGGAGCGGCCTGGCCTGGAGTGGCCTGGTCTGGTCTGGTATGGCCTGGCCTCTACATGGTTTGAACATCTGGTGACTCTTGCTGTGAGGAGTGGTGCACAGTGGCGCACATCGAAAAAAGAAGGTAATTATTCGCATACGTAACCGTAGGGTAATGTTCGGCTCGGGAACTTGTGGATCTTGAAAAAACACGCCGCACAAACGTGATTTTTTACTATATTTAGGCCTTAATTTAATTTGAACATACTCAATCAATTAGGAAGTGAGCTCGAAGTGCTCCGATTGGAATAGTAGATGAGTCTTCATTTCATTTTGAAGGTAGTTCTTTAAGATACATATGTACAGGTTGAGCATAAAACCATAACGAACCTGTAGAGAAATATTATATAAATATATCTGTATCCATAGAGCTAAAAGCCTTTTTATGCACATTTTTTCCCTATTTTCCAAGAGCACAATTACCTGAAGAAGATCAGATGGCACCACTGTGCCACACTGGAGGATGAGGAGGAGAAGCAGGAGAAGCGGGAGGAGTGGGGCAGCAGCAAGCAGTGGCGATGGCGGTGGCGGTGGCGGTGGCGGTTGGCGGTTAGCGGTGGCGGCACTGCAATTATACGCCATGGCTGGCGGGGGCGATGGCGAATCAGGCAGCAGCGGATTGAGCGGATTATGCGAGAGCCGGCGCTGGGCAGCAACGATTACGATGACGAGGTCGGATATGGGATGTGGCAGAGGATGAGGATGAGGACGACGACGAGGACGAGGACGAGTACGATGTCGTATTGCATCTGCACATTTGCTGTTGTGCTGTTGCCGTTGCTGTTGTTGCAATTTTCATTTTATGCCACCGCGGGCAAAGGGGTCTCTGGAGTTGAGCTTCGGTTCCACACAGAGAACCGTGCAAAATGATTACAGCTTCAGCTTCAGAGCAGAAGAGAGACAGCGAGAGAGAGAGAGGGAGAGGAGCGAGAGAGAGAGAGAGAGAGATCGATTGATCTATCCCTGCCCCTGCGTTCGGGGGGCCAGTTGTCTGGTCTGGTCGGCCCCGCGGCCTGCTGGCTTTCCACCTCATTATAACTTGACTTTACTTTGCTAATTCATGACGAAATATGCTAATTAATAGCCGGCAAAAGGGCACCTCAGACATCGGAAGACAGCAGACAGAAGACGGCAGAGGGACAGAGAACGAGATATACACTCCGAGATAGAGAGAGAGAGCGGGAGGGATGGATAGAGCCATGGATCCCACACGGATTCGGAAAGAAGTCATCAAAAGCTAATGAAGAGTGATGATTCCATTAGGAAGGTAACTTATCAGGCCGCTTACGATACGAAGATGTTACATGTCATACAGGTAGGTCTCCGCAGTGTTATATGGTAGGACTTGTTTTGGTTTATAATGAGATTCAAAGCGATTACCAAAAAGAGGTTTAGCAGTCTTATGAGAAGGGTATTCCAGACATATGCAAAATCCGAATAATCGTCTTATAAACTTTGACAAAACTATTTAAGATATATACATATATTATCTATAAAATATCTATTCCCAATTAGAGCTAGAACTCTACAGCGATTGAAGCTGTTTGAGAATTTTTCAATGATTTGGGCCTAATGTTTCATGGTTCAGCTTTATACCTATAAGAAGTGTTCAATGTATTTTGAAGGCCCTGGCACTATCTTCAATAGAATACCTAGTTAGCAGGCCCCCCCCCCCTCCCCCGCATTATTTTGTCTTTAGCCATCTGTGAAAGCCCTTTTGTTTCTGTCTCGCAGCAGTGGCAGTGTGCTACTGCTGTTGGGACAATCAACAAATTCATTTGCACTTCCATTTAGCACGTCTGCCCAACACTGGCACTGGTACTGGCACTGGCCGTTGCACAATCCGGAGGAGACAAATTCATTTGCCATTTCTTAACTTTGTTTGCTTTGCGGTTGGCTTGAGGTTCGGGTTCGGGTTCGGGCTCGGGCTCGGGAGAGGTCCGCCGCAGGTGCAGTGATGCATTGGGCCCCTGGTTGGCGCCCATTGGGATCGCCTGAGCGACAATTTTTGCTGGCACTGAAGCATGATCAGAGGGAGAGAGAGAAAGAGGTGTCTAAAGAGCTTTTAGTCTGTCATTATGCCAGGTACTGCCTGCAGAGGCCACATGGGTATGTTGGATTCCGGGAGATGCGTGCTACAATTGATTTGATTTTTTGTTCCCCTTTAAAGTCGGAAATTTAATATGGTTTAAACTAGAGTCCTGCATGAATCACAGCTACATTTGTGCATACTTGTATATATGTGTGAGCGAGAAAAAAAACCGAAATTTTAGTATCCAACACTGTAAAAATTGGTATACCTGTTTCGTTCTGAGATTCAGAATACCACCGAATCGACTCCAGGACTCCAAAAGGAACCCATTCTTCCGATTGAATCTGATCAATGGGTATCCCCTAGTCCATAGTAGTCTGCTCTTTGGGTCTCTGTCGCTTTGCTCTGTCACCTTCCTCCCGTTGGAGATCAGTTTATATGGTAAACGGTTACGGTTATACCCGGTTGCGGTTGCAGGTTGCAGGTTGCAGCGAAACGAACGAAACGAAACGGAAAGGCGTTGAGAGAGGGCATGGCATGGCATGGTATGGCATGGCATGAAGCATGGAATAACAACTGGAAAAGTCAACTGCCGTTCTATTGCTAATTATAAGCATGGTGTAAATTTACAATGCCTGTGTTTACAGCTCACGAACAAGCGATTATATGGCTATATAGTTATGGCCTCCGCTGTGTGACACGGCACCCGCACCCGCACCAGCGCACCCGCACCCGTGCACCCGTCTACCCGTGTGTATACAAAGATACTCGAATATGTATCTTTATCTGTATCTGTATCTGTATATAGTAGAGACATGTGCGATTTGACAAAGGCACACAGAGAGGAGAGAGACAGAGACAGAGATAACCAAGAAGACAAAAGGCAAATGTCGGAAGAATTCTCATTCACTTTGCTACCGTTCCGTTCCGCGAGTGAATTTTCTGTTGTCTTCATTTGTCATTTGTCGGATCCAAGAGATGAGATGGAGAACGAAACCCCGAAAAGAACAGAGCCCCGAAACAAAGCACAGATATTTTCACATTTAATTTAATTTATTGTTCATCAGCATCGTCACTTCTGCGTATAGGAAATCAATGTTTAGGCAATACTCGCACCGCCTCGCACCTCCCCACCTCCCCCCCCCCCCCCCATCCATCACCCACTCGCGAGACCTTGAAGCCGAAGAAGAGGAGGAAAAAATTACAATGAAATGTGGCCTCTTTAATCCATGGGAACCACACACATGGATGGAAAGACGCAGACATGGATGGGTTGTCAGAAGGGGGACGTCTAAGGCATAATATGTATATTATTTATTCTAATTCAAGTCAAAGTTTGAAAAGAACGGAACGGAAAGTGAATTAACAGCTTGAATCAATGATATAATCAAAATTAATTTGTATAGAATGGAGTGAAAAAGCTTCAACTTTTGTAACATTCATAAAAATGCAATGAATTATCCCAAAGATCTTTAAATGAGGAACAAATTGTACAAAATCTCCATAAAAGTACACAATGTTTTTTTTTCCAAACCAAATTCTCTTGATAATAAGAATTTTGCAATATTGATCAAATCCGTTTCAATATTTTCAAATAAAATGCGAAAATTCTCCATGCAATTGCCATTAAAGTGGTTATAATCTCGAATATATAGTACATATGTACATACATATGTAGGTATGTATGAGGTTGTGAAATGCAATAAAAGTGTACAGGCTTTTCATTTGATTACCTAATTAAATTCGGTTGATTTTACCCTAAGAATTTGGTTAAATTTTCGGTCTATTTGGTTCTTTTTCAGGCAAATCGTTTGCGATGCAGAATTTCTCATTTTGATTTTACTTTTAATTTCTCTCTCGATGAAAACCACAAACATTTGTCTCCCTTGACAGCTTTTTATGGAATTGACAATGGAATGTGAATCTCGTATTAAATAAAACGAAGCAAAATGCCAAAAAGATTTTGGATTCTATTTATAAAAGATTCACATATAAAAGTCTCTTTTTTAAAGAATTTGTATAAATTATTTTGAAAAGAGAGAAAATCCAAAAACTGTTAAAATGCTAAGTTGGAAAATGTTTAGAACGTTTCATACATACATACATATGTACATATATATTTCTTATATGTTATATTTAGAATCTAATTGAATGTGGAAATAGATAAAAAATAGAAATTTTAAACTTAAACGGCATAGTTTTTTTAGGGTTTTCCATTGGTAATTCCTGGTTTTGCATTAGAGTTGATTGGGAGTTGTTTTCTTTAGAGTTTAAAGAAACTTGACTTTAAATTTGTAAAATTAAAAATATAACACTTCTAGGCTAATACTGGAAAAAACCAATGGCCTCTGAACCCATTATTGTGTTTGGATCAAGCCCTTATCAGGTTTCCAAGTTTAAATCGTTTTGCTCACCTGTCCGTGTATTTCGCTTGCGAGTGTGTGTGTGTGTGTGTGTAGGATGCTTCTTTTGTTGTTTCTGCGACAGTGATTTCTTTTGATTTCCTTTGTTGTTGCAAATGCAGTGGACTTTTCTCTTCTCTGTTTCTCTTGTTGTAATTATTGCAATGTTGCTCTCACAGACACATACACGTACACATGCATACATATGACATATGTATATTGTAAATGCACCTGCACATATATGTACAAAAAATATGTATTTGAAATTGATTTGTTTTGTTGATAATTTTTAATCGCTCGCTCTGCCTGTTCTGCTTTCTCTATTGCCTCTCCTCTCTCTCCGCGGCTGCTGCCCACGCTGCTTCTGGGCATTCTTTGTTTTTATTTTCGCTCATTTTTGTTCATTTTGATCACATTTTCATTTAACACTTTTTGCGTGTGTGTGTGTGTGTGTGTGTGTGCTTTTGTAGCGTAGTTATTGTTTTTTAGTTTTAGTTTTTAGCTGAAAAATACATATTGGTATTATTTATTTATTTTTGATTCTCAAGCGTTCATGTGGTGCCTGGAATTTCTTGTAAATGCTTTTCTTCTCTTGTTTTCTTGTTTCTTTTATGGTTTTATGGTTGCGCTGCCTTGCGCCTCTCTTCTTGTTTCACATTCAATTGGACACGCACGTGCACTATTTTTTCGCGTTCGAATTTGTTGCAACAATTTTTGAGTGTCCGTCCGTCCGTCCGTCCGTTTTGGTTTCTGCGACGACAGGCAGAGGCAGGCAACGCCGCCGCTTTTAAAAACGGTTATAAAATCCGCACGACACAAAATATTTTTTGCGCGCTGTCCGTCGCCTGGTGGTGGTGCTGCCGCTGCTGCCAGTGCTGCTGCCACCAGTCGCTGCTGTCGTCGTTGTCGTTGTCGCCATTTTTATGCACTTTGCACTCGCTCGCACACAAACACACACACACACACACACACACACACACACTCATGCATGTGCAGCCAAAGCAGCGCTCTCTCTCTCTCTCTATCACACACACACCCGCACCCGCACCCGACGACACGACAACGACAAACGACGACTACGACGACGACGACGACATACAATCAAAAACTCATTCGGCTACTTGGGCGCACACGCCCCCTCAAAAGCCCCTACAGGACAGGACACACACACCCACAACAGAAGGACAGTACTGAAGGGGGTACATGGAGCCGGAGGGTGGGAGGGAGGAGTATTCGTTCTAATAAAAAGAAGCAGACTGGGAAAAACGTGCGACAGCAACAGTGCGACCGAAGGTTTTTTTTGTGCGCTGCTTGTGACTGCTTGGTTGGCCGTCCGACCAATGACACTCGACGACAATATTAAAGAACGCACACCGACACGCAAGCAGAGTCACTCTCACACAACACACACACACACACAGAACACAGAAAACGAATCACAAAAAACGAAATGTCGTCGTCGTCGTCATGGAAGGGAGGGCGGGGGGATGGATGAATGTCGCTGTCGCTTGGGCGCGCTACCACAGATGCTGGGGGACACAACGATGAGAAAAGAAAGAAGAACGACCCGAACCTCGAGGAACGGAATGGAACGTTGGTTGTTGGTGGAGTGGGAGTGGGATGGGCTGGGGAAGGGGGTCCAATGTAATCCAATCGAAACGAGAACAAATACGCACACGCACGCACACGCATACACACATTGCTGGAGTGGCGGTGTGGGTGGGGATTGTGATGGGGGGGCGAGTATAAAAAACGAACGTAACGCATTTGAAGCGGTCGAAACCAATCCAAGAGAAGAAGCAGTACAAGAGCAGACGACACGGACGCAAAATAATAAGCAGTGCAAGGGAGAGAGGACACAAAAAGCAGTACAATCAGAAGTAGTAGAAGTAAAAGCAGTGTCAGCAGAGCAAGGGAGAGACCGACACTAGGAGAAGTGGGGTAGGGGAGCGCTAGCATCGGACCAGAGCGACAAGCGACAAACGACGACACTTTTGTGGCAGTGCGAGTGGGACAGACACACACACACACACACACACACACATTCGCAAGGGGAATGTAGGGGTGGGGTAGGATACACTCCATGCGTGGCCCTACCATTCCCCACCCACATCTGTACATCGTATCCTTTGGCCGAGGGGCGGAGCGCGCACTCTGTTTATGTGTGTGTATTTAACCCCCGAAACAAACCGTTAGCAATTTACCCAATACCCTGGAACGACCCCTACACAAAGTCGGGACTGGACCTGCCTACCGTACCACCACCACCCACCCCCCATCGACCATCGCTTGGGCTGGGCGACACTTCCCTGGGTAGACATTTTTTATGCGCCAGCAATGTTTTTGTGTGTGTGTGTTTGAAGAGTGGAGGGAGTCCCCGTCTTATATTTGTATGTACATATATACCACATAGATCCTGTTATTGTGTGGGTGCAGAGCACTCTCCCCAACCCACTGCACCGATTGCTGTTTTGGGGTGAACGTGAAATCCTCAACTGCTTTTTGCTTCTGGCAGCGAGGGTGCGCTGCACTGCACTGCTGACCGCCTCGGCTTTCGTGGAGGGTACAGTGTCCTGTTCAACTGCTTTCTGTGTGGGTGCAATCCTTTTCCACTGCTTTCTGGAAGGCTGCAGTTTTCCCAAACTGCACTTCTACACTGCTTTCCTCTTACACTGCTTTCTGGATGTGTGCACTCCTTTGAAACTGCTTTTGTGCTGGGATGCACTATTCCTCAACTGCTTCTTCCTAGAAGGGGTGCTGCACGACAATGCTCCTTCCGGCTTCTGGGGCGTTCACCCTGCCTTAACAGTTATTTCTTGAACATTTTTTTGTCTCATACTTTTCATTTTCACAGCAAAAACAAAAAAAAACGAATACAACTTAAAAAATTCGCACCACAGCAGATTGAAGGTTGAAGAGTGTTGTTGTGATTCTCAGGGCTCAGGTGATTTGGTGTTCGGTTCGGTTTGGGGCTCTCCGGGGGCTCTTGCTGGCGTTTTGTCGTTTTAGCGACGGCAAAACCACACGCGCGGCCAGCAAAAACAGCAAAAACAGAATAGAATGGGCCGCAGAGCAGTGCGGATGGAGAGGCAGAGGAGAACATGCGAGAGGCAGAAACAACAACGACAACGACAACGGCAACAACGAAGGCGGCGGCGGCGGTGGGCGGACGGACGGGCGATGGATGGCGACAAGCAGTCCAAAAACAAAACAAAAAAAAAAGAGCGACCGATTCCCGAGGGTTTACCGTTCTTGCGATGCGGTGCGATGCGGCAGCGGCAAGTCGACGTCGACGTTTGAAATCACGTCGCTGCCGTCGCGGTGGTTGCTGCGGCTGCGGCGGCTGGCGCTGCCGAGCTGCTGCCTTTTTGGCGCTCGTGTAAGCCGACGACACGCACACAGAAAGGGGAGAGTGCTGTGTGCATGTGTATATATTGAAGCAGCAGCGGCCACTGGTGGCCAGCACACTCACACACATGCACCGCGCGAGAGAGAGAGAGAGAGACGCTGTCCATGCTGTATTGCCGGCTCGCTCTCTCTTGCGCGCTCACGCCCAAGCACAACAAAGAGGTACAAGCAGAGCAAGCAGCTATGGAGAGACAAAAGCAAGCAGTCCACTATAGAGTGTCAAACGCAAGCACGCAGAGCAAGCAGTGCATTGCTGGTTTTAAGAGAGTATGAGTGGACTCGGCCGCTCTCTTCAATACACAAGCAGCAGCCCCACTCTCTCTGCTATCACTTCTTTGCACCCTACATTGCTGCTGCTGATGCTCTTCGATTACAGTTGCACTTATGGAGCAGCAATCTGTCAAGCAGTTCTTGCGGTGCAGGAGATTCCTCCAAGCAGTATGGCCGAAGAGTCGTCCGAATCGAGTGGTGCTCTAATGAAATAATTAATTACGAGTACAAGCAGCAAATCCCCAGCCACATCGATGGGTGTACCACCCATTCGAGAGCTTACCTTCCCCTCCCCTCAACACACACTGCACGCTGTATCTGCGGATGGAAGTGTATCTGAAAGATGGGTCTCGGGGCGAGCAATCGGGCAATTGTAGTGTGTGTGTCACTTGTGGTACGGACGGACGGACGGACGGACGGACGGACGGACAGGCTGCCTCTGCGACCACTTCAGAGGAGGGTATGCAGTGAGAGAGGGTGGCTGGGTGGCTGGCTAGCAAGAAAGTGCAATAGAGTTTAATTAAATCACATTTCGGGATTACTTTTGAAAGGTTGTCTGTGAGAATTTTCATTCAAAATGGAAACCCGTATGCGGGTATTAAATATTTAAGAAATACATAGATTTATACCCCGTTCCCAGAACGGAACACGAAGGAAGATGATTCCCTTAAGCGAACTGATAAGAAATTTCGAAGAATAAACCAAAATATTTGTGCGTTTCTATATCTCTTTCTTTAGAAAATTTCTAGAAAATTCGCATTTATTGTATATATCCAAGTATTTTCATTTTTGGGATTGCCTATGCATTTCTTAAACTACGCAAAAAAGTTTGGCATTCCCTATAATCATATTTGCATCCCTATTATCATCTTTATTAGAACGGTCTAATAATTGGGAGATTCATGTAGCTTTCTTTATTTTTTTAAATGCTATAATTATGTATTATTAGGTACCAATATTTGTATCTTCAGTTGCTATTACATTGCATCTTTATTTGAGTTCCGATGTCATATGATTCTGATACGAATTTTTAAACCTGTATCTGAATTACAATTAAAGTTCGTTTCGTAATAGATAGATAATCTATCCATATATTTATTAGCTATACATACATCTATGTATCGTATCTTGTATATTTCACCATCCATTCTGTACACAAATTTGCTTAAACTAAACTTTTTCTAAATCATAATTTGGAGCCTTGGATGTACATATGTATATACATAGATATATGTATAATCTTTGGTACATTTGCTACTATCCTACGCCCCTGCACCCTCCTAAGCTCTGGCAATCAATTTGATAAAGCTGCATGCCCCACATCCCTCCCCTTTTTTACTCTATTTCAACCTCAAAGATACGAAACTTGAATGGAAAATTGCATTGCAGCCAAAGCAAATGTCAATTGCATACAAATAAACGCATATACTAGATACACACATACATACATACATATGTATCTGTATCTGTATCTGCATTTGTACTTGTGTGTATCGCCATGTGTGCGTGTGTGCTGGTTGTATTCTTGGATTTGTAGACAAACTTTGT